CTTGAAAAATAACATTGTACTTCACTTTTATACGGGTATAAGTATTTAGTATTTACACACATGAAATTATTTTTACTTAACAATTTATGCAAACTTAATTTTGTGTCCAATGAAATTATTTAATTGCAATGAATTGTAAACGATGTATAATTTTAGATTCGTAGGAAGTTTTAGTATAATCACTAATTTTTCTTTTCAAGGTATTTTTTTTTCGCAAACAATTATTTTTCTACTTCTGAAAATTGAAGGCTACATTTTTTAATTTTAATAAAAAACATGTTTGGATGACTTATCTTTTATGGTAAAAAATGTCTTGAAGGTAATATTTTCGTTTTTCAATCATTTTCTCGTTTTAAATTAATATTAAAAATAATTAATTTCAATGTGATTTGGTATTTACTCGTATTATATTATATTCATATTTTTGTCTTTTTATTTTAATCTTTTAATTGTTTATATGGGCAAAACAATAAACAAATATAATAGAAAGAATTTTGTTTTTGTTATTTTCATTTAATAATTTTGGTTATTATTACTACTATTAGTATTCTCGATTTGATAGTAATATAATATGTGTAATATGTGTACTTAGTTACCGCAACTATTTTTACTATGCATTTTTTGAAGGTTCACATTGTAGAAACTAGATCCTTCAACCGTATCTATGTTTGAAATATATTTTATTATTGGACAAAAATTAGTTATACTATAAGAAATTCTATAACTTTATTATAACTAAAATTATTTCCAGATATCAAATTTGTTTAACTTTACTTTTTTTAATTTAACTTAAAACCGTATCCTTCTTCTAGATTTTCATTATTTTGATAGAGAACACCTAAAAGTCAATTGTTTATTTACTGGGTTTTCAGCTAATCTTGACGAGGTGGCCATTTAGACACAGAAAACATACATAAGAAATATCTTTGATTACTGTCTCGGATAACAAAATTATACTAATGTCTTCACTGTAGAAAAATGCACACATTTTTTGATGATTCAAAAATCATTTTTTATTTTACCAATATTTCTGAATAGTTATAAAATAAAAAAAAATACTTACTTTTCTTTGAGTAAGATTAAAATCCTCTTAAGAAATAGAACAATTTAACCGCAGAATAACTGCAGGTTACATGCTCAAACATACCTACGCATATTATAATACAGTGAACATGTATTAGGTTAAGGTTATCGCAATATGAAAATATATTTATACACCCTTCTTTAATATATTCAGGGGCCTTTTGAATTTTGAATTTAAAGGTACATTTATAAAAATGTATTTATCACAAAGCTAGGATATTAACAGCTAAATTTATTTATTCATATGAAATTACAATGAATGATAGTATCTAATATAAAATTTCCCTACAGTTACAGATTAAATTATTATTACATCTAGTGTAGATAAATATGTTTAAGTTTAAACGAAACAAAACAATTATCACAATAAATATCACTTTAAATTAAATTCGATATATTCAGAGATTCCAACCAAGTTATTGCCTCAGGGGTTATTTTGATGAAATCTTCCAAATCACATCTTCTTAGTTGGCAGTCCCATGTTACATTTACTTTATACTGTATACGTAATATATATATATATATATATTTTTTAACTGCTAGATCCACATGCATATACTTCAATAAATGCATTGTGTTGTTTTTCTTTGATAATCTACATTAGAAAAATGAATACGGAATTTAATCAAATTACATAGTATTGTTGGACACAAGGGCGCCCATATGGGAGGGAGACAAGGGAGGGATATGTCCCCCCCTGGAAAATGTTAAAAATCTTGGAAAATTGTTTACTATGATCAGAAAATATTTATTTAAATAGAATTTAAAAATTTAATTTAATATATGAAAATCTATAATTTGTTTATGAAAAATCTTATTTTTAAATTTATTTAGTTTGGAAAATCAGGTTATCAGCTATAAATAACAATACACTCTTTCGTTTCTATTCTATGGATAATTATCAATTCTTAAAATATTGTGTATTTTCAGAAATACGGTATGTATGTGTGTGTGTGTACACAACCATAATATTTATAAATTAATATTTTAATAAATATAACTAATGTTTTAAGTGTCCAATTTATATTATTAATTAAATAAAAATTTCAATAAATTACTTTTATGGTAAATTGGTTAAATAATTATTATTTTATAGTCTTCCAGTTTGATATATAATGTAATAGTATAGTGTAAAATTGTAAACTCTTTCCTATATCGTGGGTCATTCCTATTTATGAATAGATTGATAAATTAAAATGTTGTCCCTCCCCCCCCTTTGAGAATTTTCCTATGGGCGCCCTTGGTTGGACAATAGTATTGGTGTCTAGCTATCGTTCTTCGCGAGAGAATGGTCGAATTTATCACATGTAATATATTAAGTTGAAAATGTATTCCTTGAATAATTCTACTCACTATATATAGATTTTAAATGTCATATTAAAAAAAATAAATATTCATACTTTAATAAATCTGTCATAACCAGTTGCTTCTAATAAAACTATTTTTATGGGTCCAGCTTAGTACTTATTTTCCACCTCAGCAGTAGCCATACCGATAAGTAAAATACACGGCTCGTACCGATAATTATTTAAACATGATCCGTACAAATCAAAACCCACGTTCAATCTAAACAGACCTTTGGCGGATACGCGATGACTTAATTATCAGTTATCGTATCATATCTCATAGAATCAGCACTGTATGCGTGGGGAGAAGAGGATGAAAGATTGATCCGGCAAACTCAAATTTCCGTCCGTAAAGAAAACGTATCAATTCCAATTTGCACTCGAGTCGAATGATCATTTGTTTTAGCACTGTCCGTTTTCTTGCAATAGATCCAAACGCTAAATTACTACACACCCAAACACATATATATTGGTAGTGCGTTTATGCGCCGGAAACTAATCCGATGTCGAAAAGTATTCGCAAATTTACGTTGTCATTGACCGATTACGCATTCTCCGATTCCTTTTTAATATTCATATACCGTACAGACCAGTCAAGCTCTCTCACTCACTCTCTCTCTTTTTATGTTAAAATTATAAGAGCTTTCGTATACAAATATCGAAATAGATTTTTTTTTTTCAAAGACATTTACTCAAAAAATGAAGATCACTCAATAGAATAAAACATTTAAAAGGTATGTTGTATAGTAGGCGATGTAACGTAACTAATAAATATATTTATCAAATGAGCAGCATAATTCTTATGGATTCGATATAAAATATTGTAAATCAAATTTATACACCTAATTTTTGGACAATAACGTTGAACAATGATGATCCGAATGACGGATAGTGACACACACGATGTACTTTATATTTTTTGGATTTTAAGTTACTCACGTCAAGTTTGTTATTTATCAACTGCTGTACTACGCATCGTGATTGACCGTCAACGTCTTGATCTGTATCTGCCACTGTCGTAAGATAATATATTCGATATTCGACCTGGTTTGAATAAAAAACGAAGAAATATTTTATAAAGGAACCGTAACAGTATATTTGTTTGTATAAAAATACCCTGTCCAGCAACATTGCAGTGCAAGCGTATGATGTCGTAATATATGTATAGGTCCATATATATTATTCGGATTTACAACGACATTTACTTCACGATATAGGATACTATTCTTTCTGTAGAAGAAAAAACTTAACAACTGATCAGCAAACTCCTTTTGGATTTAACATACCATATATTAATATAAACGCGTTAGTGTATACTGCTGAACCCTGTTCCCCGTTTTTTTTTTATCATAAGACTCTATTAGATATAAATAAAAGTTAATTTTCATTTTTAAAAACTTAAAGAAACATCGGTATTATAAAAAAAATAATAATTGTATTCGTGGATGAATACAGAAGTGGATACCGGGCCTGTGTTTTCGATTCTGCGTGAAAAAAAAAACCGGTAGCGAACGTACTAGAGGCAGTAAAATACGAATTATTTGTACAGATTGATTTGGGGTATAGATATTATATATAAATATTTATTACTTTCATTAGTTCAATGACGAACTATTTCGCTGGGTAAACGATTTGTAACTTAAAATTATAAAGGCGATTTATGTTATCTTAGTAAATTTTAAATATAGAAAATATGCATAAAATGATTCAATTATTTTTTTATTGTTTTATTTTCTTTTAACCACACTTGTGTTTAGAATAACGTAAACAATGAAATTCAAGATTTTTAATTATATCTGAAAAGACTTTTATGAGTTTTATATAAAGCTTCTAGCTGTTTTTTAAAAATAAAAAAATTAATTTTTATGATTCGCTAAAAAATAAAATAAAATAAAAAATCAATTGTGCCGTAATTTAAATGTTTAGTTTATACAAACAACTGAGTCAACTTTTCTGATTTTGTAATGTTTTATGTATATTTAATATGAATATTATATTTTTAGGTTCGCTATGTATAGGTATATAATTAAACTACAAAATTACTTATTTTATGAACAAAAATAATTTCTAAATGTAAAAACCTCGATTTCTCTGCGGTTTTATTAATTTTTTGGAAAACGACCAAGAAAATTTAAAAACGACTCGCCCAAAATATTTACTTAGTCCAATTTCCGATTATTTAATGACATACAGTAAGACAATTTTGGAGTTGTTTAACTATGTTTGCCTCAGTTCTACAGCTAATAAATACATTTAAATTGTTAACAAAGTGAATTAGGTAAACATATATTATGCTAGGGAATAATATACAGTAGCGATTTAATTTAAAAAAAAACTGCAAAATAAGCTCTCGTTATGTTGACAAACTCGTTTACGACCCGTCACGTTGTTTAAATTATGTAAATAAAATTGAAACACACACATACGCACACATACTATGCTGCTAAATGATTATAAAAAATCGAAATATTTTTCATTAATATAATTTTGCTAAAAAAATAAAACAATACTTTATAAATAATTACTACATAACTATATTATATATACTGAATTGTTTTTTTTATGTTTCAGCCATTTAGATGCTGAACAATTAAACTGATCATGATTGGCCCTTTACTAAAAGTGGCCTTCATCACTATATTCGTGATATGCAGTATTCATTGCGAAAGACACAGTATAGGTAAGTAATTATTTTCTTTACTTAAACTTGAAGTGTAACTAGATAGCTACAGTTATTTTTTCGGAATGATTTGATAGTTTATTATGTTTTCTATAACGCGTTATAAATAATTTGCATACATACATGAATAAAAAATCGGCCAAATACAGGTTTAGACTGAGATCTACTAAGAGTTTGGTCCATAATTTCAACCGCAGTGTTTTAAGTTATCGCTTTTGAAAAATTATTCTGAACGAAGTTCCATTAAATATATACGAGTAATTAGATTTAAAATAATTAGGTATTGTACTGATCCACCAAATTATTGTAAGTGGTCGGAAAAACGATCGTTGGTCTAGATATTCTGACCGTTTCAACATTAAGGTTCAGGAACACTTAATATTTAATTTTCGAAATTCCTTGAAGCCCAAAAGCCTTTAACAATTTTAATTAAAAACTAACATACATTTTATTGGGTTTTTTCTTTTTTTTTCTGGTTTTAAAATATTGTTTTAACCACTAAGAAAATTGTTTGTCAAAAAAAACATTGAAAATTGAAACTCATATAAAAAAAAAGAAAATATACCTTTAATTTATATTTGCTCATAAATAAAAATTAAAAAAAAAAAAAATTGTAAAAAAAACATTATATATTCTTCTTCGCTTCGCTCAGAATTTAAAATATGAAAGATAACACATTTTTCTCATTTCGGTTATCAAACATTATTTACTTTTGAATATACTATAGTTATAATGTTACCTTCGTTGATCTTATGTCAACAACCTACAGTCTTGTCACCTACATCACTATCGTTAATAAAAATTATTTCAACGAAAACAATTATGTTTCACCTTGTACGTGTGCGAATAACGCTCAAATCGTTCGATTTTAAATCATAGAACGATTATCGCAATTCATAAATGTAACGTGTTTCAACAATGTGTTATTAATTTCCTAAACTGTTGGTTAACGGGTCGTATATATATTGTTATATATTCAAATACATTTGAACTAAAACTATTACGACGCGTTTGTTTGAAGTGTAAGCCTTTGAACTAGTACTGACAGTGGGTGCATAAAACGTCACAATTAATACCATTCACTGTTGTACTCGATTAAACAGATCAAATTCCACTGATAGTATTCGGTTCGCAAACAATACTTATTTTATTCATTTCTTGTACCGTTTCGATTCCAATCGTACGAATAAAACGCATAATATATTCAATCCACGCGAACCCTACATGTACTTATTCCTGCTACATCACATTCATCGTATTATATCCCACTATATCGATCGTATCGATCGACACTTGTTCCTTGTACAGCTTACATGTTTGTGCGTTATACTTGTACGGAGTTGCATCATGGGTTCCACTATTTTACACGAATAAACATATCCGTAAAATACATAACGCGACGTAAATATACATGCAAATTTACAATTTCACAAATTTACACGCAAACGTGTACATAACCTAAACGGTTATATAGGCACACGTTCCAAATTGATTATTTTCGAAAACAATTTATAATATTAAGCTCATGAAACCTTCCACCACCGTTATCTTTAACCCTGAGACCGATTTTATGTGTGATAAATGGTTTTCCTCCCTGCTGGTTAGTTGATATTTCACGACTTCGCTTTTGTATTTACTGTGCTTTTTAATTTAATTTTAATGCTATCATAAAACTGACAATTAGGATGGACATCGGATTGGAAGAAGAAAACAGGTAAATTGTTTTAACGAATCCGTGATAGTAAATTATATTTTATATTAGTAGCGGCTCCCAACAGTTTATGGAAGGAAATTGCCTAAAAAGCATGTTGCACTACATATTACCTTTATACATTATTATGCGTATTCAATAATAACAATATAGACCGGGATTGTTGACTTAATCATGCAAATAGAACCGACAAAAGTTTAACTTTCAGCAGCATTTTCCAACATTATTATTAGGTTTTAACTTACTTATCAGCATCGCGTTGGACAATTTGATTATTTCAACAACCGTTTTAAAGTTTTTACATGACCTGTAATGACCGATTTAATGATCGACATAATTTTATAACGACCTCCAACAAACACCATGAGAAATACATTTTAAAGGATAAGTTTTCATAGTGTAATAAAATTACGTATGTACCAAATATAAAAATTGCTACCGCATTCGTTATAAATAAGATTTAGGAACAGTCTGATCACATAGCGGACGAACAAATACCGTGGCCGACAAAATCACACCAAAAATACAAAGGTATTTCTGCTGCTTGTATAATTTTTGACCGATTAAATGTATGAGCGCTATGAGGGGTCATAAAATATTAAATTGGTTTAAAACTAGTTAACTCTAGTTTGGTAACCAAATTACAAGAGGCTGACATTAAAATAATTAGGCCGTCTTAGGCCATAATTTAGGTTCAATCAACGAACCGCCTCATTTTCAATGCAAAAATAAAATAAAAAAATTAAAATACCATAGGTCCAAATGGTTATAAAATATAAACTATAATAGTATTAATAAACAATAATGTGTAAAACTATAGTTTAATCTAGATACATGCAATTATATTTATTCGATGTTGCAGAACAATATTTATTCACGGTTTTATTGCGTAATGTGTTTATTTACAAACACAATAATAACAACAATATTAGTTAATAAAAACTACAATAGTATACTAAAAATTACAAAAAATAAAAGTACTTATAACTATTAAAAATCCACTACATCAACCGTTGTTTTTCAAGGGTCCAAATCCTGTGCTTTCTTCGTGTGATCTCAACGAAAAAAATATCTACCAGTTTTTCTATAATTATAAGCTGGATTCATGAATTTGTTTTGTAAATACTCAATTTTAGTAGGTTTAAGTAGAATTATAGATCTTAGTGATGAAAAAATATAACAGAATCGATGATTGCAGAAACGTCACTGGTCACATATTTTATGAAATCGAGATATTAGTAAAAACGTATACTAATTATGTGTTTCTATACGTCGAGTGTAAAAACGTCTTTATTGATACTTTTTTCATTAGATAAATTAATAATAATAATCAGTATTTTTGCACGCTTAGAAAAATTTAAACACTTAGATATTAGATACATAATTTTACTAATTAATGGATTTTATTGAATACTTTGAATTCTAATCCATCAACTAGTTTCATCTCTTTGAGACGATATCCTGTTAATCCCAGATATTTTTTGGTTCACCAAATTGTTATGGATATTTTCTCGAGAAGCTGTTTTAAATTAATCTTGTACATTTTTATAATAAATAGCACTCTCTTTCAAATAATAAGCTTTGTTTCATTAGGTTCTGATTATCTTCTATACATCTCATAAGAAACTCAGAATCCATATTTCAAATGTTCAAACTGGTTAGTAAATATTATTTTTTAACTAATTTAAACTTTAGACCTTAATTTATTCTGTTAAAATGAATTTTGATTCTAAGCTATTCTTTATACTCACAACTATTATGTAAATTTAACTAAAATCAATAAAGTTATTTTAATTATGGATAGAATTGAGTAACAGTTTAGGTATTATTGTTTTATTAAACAGGATCATTCGACAGTTTAAATAACTTTCGTTTTGTTTATTATTTTTAATTTTTTTTTTCTTTTATAATAAATACTTAGGTCTTGCGTTACAACAAAATTGTATTAAAAAAATTTTTTGATATTTAAAAATCAAATTTAAAAACTTTAAATTTTATTCTACAGTGTGAAAAAAAATTTAAAATAGCTATTTTGGAAATAGAATTTTTTGAAAAAATATGGTTTTAAAATAACTTGTTAAAGTTTACCTATTGATTTATTATGCATTTTTAAAGTTTTTGAAAATGTTAATTTAATAATTAAAATTATTGTACAATTATTGTACGTTAAATCAAGATAGAATTGATTCTTATGATTAATTTGTAATTTAAATCATATACTTACGTGATTTAAAATTTTAAATTTAATCAAAACATAACAAAACGTACCATTAGTATCATTATTATTAAAGTAGATAGCTAAGAAGGTTATTATTCGATTAAATATTTCATTTAATATTTATAATTGTAATAAATTCTATAGTATACATTTTATATTGGTTTCCTTCGATAATAATCATGTAAATCCGTGTTTCCAACCTAGGGGTAGTGAAATATTATTTACGAGTGCGCAAAAATAATAAACAATTGGTTATTCAAATAAAAATGTAATATTTTAATTATCAATCTGATTATTGCGAATCTATATTAAATAAAATAACATGTGACAAAATTTTATATCACGATATATATATATATATATATATATATTGGATTAATAACTATAAACGATTGTGTTTACCGATTTTAATTTCATTTTCATTTAATATCAGGTTATATTTACATTTGTGAATTTATATTTAATTTTATTTATTTAGTATTAGGTTATATTTAAATTTCAATAAATTTAATCAAAAATGTAGCACCTATTTAATAATATTTAATATAAAACCTAATATGGAAACTATAAATATAACATCAAAAATTCAAGCACATTAAAACGAGAAAATTGCTATTTATCACGAGAGTATCTCGATGGACTGCTTAAATTATAGGACGGTCATGAATGTTTAGGTCGTTATTTTTTTTTATGATAGTAAAAAAATAATACAAACATTAGTATAATATATGATTTAATTGAATAATTAAACTATACATTTAAAAAAGATGTAGTCAAATGGTAGAATTAGAGTACGGTCATTTCCAAGATGTTTTGTATAAGCACACGTAATCGCATAACAAGTCGATAACCCGGATAAAATAAAAATTCTTTATTATTACGATTGAAGCAATGATTGAGAAAAAAATAAAATAAAATAAAATAATTTATGTAATATAGTGTATTATTCTAATATTTCATATACTCTTGTATCTTTAATTTTTTGCTCCTAAAATTCTAGCTTCTTGAACTCCTTTCTTCAAACCAAAAATATGCATGTGATTATTGAATAATGAATAGAACATTATTAAATAATGCAATGTTATCTTTTTTTTTTGTAGTTACATTGTTTTATTTATTTTTTTTACATTAACTTTCATTAAAATTAGAAGGTATATAATTATTTGCCAAAATTATTGTAATTGTTCTTTAAATTTCGTCATACTCAAGCAAACAATAATAAAAAGAAAATAATAATTATATTTTGTTATATTTTGTATTAAAAAAATATAATTTTGAATCAATTGTTTTTTTCTTTTAATAAAATAGTATTCAATATTAATAATTTTTATATTTATTTTTTATTTTTTATTATGTTATTAAATCATAAAAATTACCAGTTTTGTTTAACTTTAGAATATGTTGATTGTGATGATTGATTCCTTTCAAGAAACTTTTTAAGGTATAATCGAGAAGTTCTCAATGTGCTTTTACAATATTCATATCAGAATTCTCCAGTGTACTGTAAATAGTAGGAATATTTTAAAAAATATAAAAAACATAATGAACATAGGAAAATAGTATAATAACCCACTATATCCTTATAGTTTATGCATTAATGAATTTAAATTATTTGAAACATATATTGCGTATTTATAGATTTTTGTTCCTTTTACATGTATATAATACATTTATATATTAAATAAAACATTTTTTTTTCTCAATTTCTAAACTTGTGGTCCTATTAGATAAAACACATATAAATAATGTTATAAAACCGGTCCTTTTAAATATAACATAACAATACACCAATATGTTAAAATAATAAATAGTCGGAAAGTGTATACAGAAAATTCAAGTAATTTTTTGCTTATATAGTTGTGTACATTTTTTTATAATTTATTAATATAATTTGGTTTTCTATTTTGAGTACATTTATCTGACTTTAAATTATAAGATTTTAATTAAAAAATACCTTAAATACATATTATTAAATTACCAACATTCATGTGTGAAAAAATTAATCCTATTTTAACATATTACACATACTTGTCCTACTACATTTAATAATACATAACATTTATATAATATAATTATAATATTGTTAAAAAAAATTGTATTTTAATTTAACTATTATAATTAAAACATAATAAATTATGAACGTGTAAATAATACATAAATAATATTCCATTTGTTCTTTTTTCAATATTTGATACATATCTTATATTTATCACTGATACACCATACAAATAAATTTCTAAAATACGTTTTATTAATACTTTCTTCTCTAGATATTGTATTGATATTTATATATAAGCATATTATTAATAATTATTGTACTTATATTAATTTATGTAATTTAATGAAAATTCCATAATGATTTGTTTCTTACCACTTTTATGTTTGAAAGTCCACTAGTAATAAGCAATTTATCAATGTTTTTCAAAAAATCATTTCTTATATTTTCCATTTTTTCAATAAATGATTAAAAATAATCTGATTTCCAGTATAACATAATAATAACATTTTTTATCAAATTGGTTGAACATTTTTTTCAAATTGCACTGTAAACTATTTGAATGACACATCATAAGTTATATAAATAGGTTTTCTCTGCAGCTTTATAATTTCACATACAAATAATTGACGAGTGTACCAAAAAACTTAAAATGTAACAAAATTGTGATCTAAGTGATTTGATTGATTTTAAAAATACTAATAAACTTTAAAGTAAAAAACACACCCGTATAAACTTATAATTTCTTTCGATTATGAATTAGCAAATTTAAACTTTTAACGTTATCTG